TCTGTTTCACATTTTGTGAACAATGAACAATGAGAGATGGTCACGTTTCAAACAAAGCGGGAACACTTTTCTCAAAAAAAAACGAAAGGACCGATGGCCCTGGAAAAGCCATCCTTGGGACAAGAACAGCAGTCCGGAGTCCCGCAACACCTCTTCCAAATGAACACCTGCTCTCCAGTTCCCCATCGCTCTGTCCCAGCCCAGAGCTCAGCTGGGTTTCTTGCTTGTGTGTAGGAACTGAGGTCATGCTAGATGCGCCTCTGCATCCATGATCTTGGGGAGAAGCACACCCCATGGGACCAGAGAAAAGTGGTCCTTCGTGCGTCTGGTCAGGGGCACAGGCCGTTCTGCAGAGCCACCCAAAGAGGAACTGCTGTCCTAGATCAGCAGCTCGTGGGGCGTCTCCTCCCAAGCTCCTCACTAGCCTGAGTCTCAGGAGTGTCCACGTAGGTTTCACAACACTGCAGACCCCTCCCTTTCCTTTACCGATCACCCCATCAGGGCAACCAGCCCCCCACAGAGCGGCAGGAGCCCAGTGCCCCAGGATGGCCAGCAAAGCTAAAGTCTCTGTCTATTCTTGGACTTGCCTCCCACTTCTTACAGTTTCGTTTTCTCTCATTTTGAATGTTTCCCAACACATCATGTTTAGTGAGGTGTTTAAGACAGACTGAGAGAGGCCATTGGAGGCAGTGTTTCGTAGCATGGTTTGTACACTACTTTATTGCTAAATTAAAATAAAGATGTAATCTGGCAGATTCAGCCTGCTGCTAAGCCTGCCTTGGGTGTTTTCTGTATTGGGGCGAGAGTGAGGGCGTCTAGCAGCGAGGCGAAGGGCTGTCTCTCCCTCTGTCCTCCTACCTGCTTGGTTTCCTGACGCAAAGACACCAAGGAACCAGCAGAGTGTTTGGCCTGTGTACTGCTCCCGCTCAGAAATAGGCACAGCAATGCAGAAAGGAAAGCAAGGTTCCGGTGCTCCTATAATGAATGCCACGGAATTTTTCACAGGGTCCACAGTGACTTACTGTTTATTTGGAAGAAGCATAAGGGGAGTGACATGGTGTGACCATTACTCCTCTTTGCGTTTGATACAAACTTTCCATGTCTGTAATGTTTCTTTTTCTGGAGATGCCAGGGTTTCAGAGGCCTAACTCTAACTCCTATTTCTATGCTAAGTTCCCGAAGGTGCTTGCTAACCAGTCAGGCTACTGCTTTTATTTTATTTATTTACTTTTTTATTGATTGATTTTAGAGAGAGAAGGGAAGAGAGAGCAAGATGGCGGGAGAGAGGGAGAGAGACAGAGAGAGAGAGAGATTAATTAGTTGTTCCACTTATTTATGTATTCATTGGTTGATTCTTGTACTTGCCCGGATCGGGAATCGAACCTGCAATCTTGGCATATGGGGACATGCTCTAACCAACAGAGCAACCCGGTCAGCGCCCAGGCCACTTCCTTGAGAACTTCAGAGGGAAAGTTCTCCAGCCGTTCCCTCCAGCCATTCCAGGGGATCCACATGCCGATGCAAGGACACGTTCACCTGTTGGCAACCTCCTAGACACTGACTACCAGGGAGAGATTTCTCTCTCAAAGACAAAAGCCTACGACATCAAAACATCCTGACTGCTTGGGTTCTGACGGCATTTGGCCATTCACAGTTCTCCCTGGTGAAAGCTTTAAAAAAAACAAAGAAAACAATAAAAGCCTGGCTTGCTATGGAACTGATAGCCAGCAAAACCAGATCTTGGACCAGAAAGGACAATCCACTCAACAAAACTCTTTGAGTGTCTTACGATGCTCCCATCGCAAAGCCCCCAGCGGGGTGCGGGCACTCACGATGAAAGGCAATTGGAACAGAACCGCACAGCCCACATGGGCTCCATCCCACAAGCCAGGGACGCAGACCCTGTCCTCGGGAAAGCAAGCCAGTGGCAGGGAACGAAGGTGGTATGTATTCAAGAGCGAGAGGATCTGCCTGCAAAGACACCAGGGAGTGAACACAAGGCAAAAGGAGAGGGGGATTTTGCGCACGGGTGAGTTCTGAAGGAGCTGCCACCCACACGCAGTACCTTCTAAGGTACGTGGGGCCTGAAAATTCTGTTCGCCAGCAGCGCCAACCAGCACCGAGGCTGAGCTCAGAGCTGGGGGTTCTGCAGCAGCAGCAGCAGCAACAGCGAGAGCAGCCGTCACAGAAAAACTGATGAGCAATACTTACCTGAGTGAATAAACGTTCCTCTTCCGGGGCAAACACAGTCATCGGTCTGCCAACAGCAGCACGGGGCCCTCCTTGGTGCCCATAGCTGCATCTCATTAGTGCTAAAAGCTCCATGATTCATGGGTAATTGCCAGCTATTATTTCCATATCACTGACCCACCTGAGTGGCCACAGAGACTCTGAACTTGATTCCCAGACAACCCCATTAGCTAATGGCTCACGGGGAGGCCGCCGCCCGCGCCTCTCTGTGATTCCAGCCCTGTGATGTCGAGTTCTTCCCCAGCCCCTCCTCGTACCAACACTTTTCCTTCCAGCATGATTTCTCCTTCATTCTCTCTGGAGAAACAGAGGGGTGAGCAGAAATCTGCCCAACTGCTAATCTCAAGACAGCACCCTCAAGAAGGAGAAGCCTACCATTCTGGGTACGGCTTTATTCATTCACTGACCTTTACCACGTGACGCCAGTGCGTGGGTTTTCTCTTTGGGGACACTCATGAACTCTACAGAGCAAAGACAACGGTTAAGGCTTCTTCCAGCTCCTAAATGATAGAGTTCATTTGGTGTGTGGCCACAAAAGATACTTTTTGGTTCAGTCCAGGATGGCTGTGATGTCACCCTAACGGGTCTTCTTGCTTTTGACATTATACTACACCACATTTCATCATTACATTTCCAGCAGGTTAACTTTTGTAATCTATAGCTCTGGACACATCATTCCACTGGCCAACATTTTCAAAAGGTGCCAAATTAGAAACACAAAAATGATTTTGCCTAGCAACCTAACAGTCAAAAACAGTCCACGATAATCAAGATTCTGTTCCAGAAGTATATAATTAGGATTGCCAAATTCTGGTTTCAGCCAGAGTCGAATTCCCAATCACGGTTCGTCTAACTTTGTATTATGGTTTGTGACATCCCTCTTGTGTAACTGTGTGTCCCCCCAAAAGAAATACGACATACTCATTAAGGTCCAAGTGAAATCATTTCATAAGATCATCTCCTGAACTCTGGGCTGCCCATTTCATGTAATCAATTCAGCTATCTAGATTGGGCATCTACTGAATGTGAAGGAGGGCACTGGTGTTGTGGCCTCTCCTAGACTCTTGGGGGACTTGTGGGTATTGCATCTGCTCTCCCCAGATGGACTGAATGGCCCTGCTATGGGGATATGATACCAACACTACAGCATGCAAAGCACTGGAAATGCACGTGGAGTCTAATATTTGTGTTTTTATCGATCTTTTTGGAAGTGCACCTGCTATTATAATGATCTGCATGAACACATGTTACAGCAAAGGAAGCCAACACTAAACACTGCTCACTGTATGTGGCTGAGCTGGGCCCAGCCCGGACGTCCTGCCTCTTCCGGGGCTACCCACTCTGCCGCAGGGGTCTTGGGAGCGTGCTGGGACCAAAAGGGTTACATCCTGGGCATCTTCTGAGCCCAACTGCAAAGACGCATAGAGTTCACGTCGCCAGGCAAATCTGGCCTTCGCTGTGCCTCGAGCATCACGTGGAAAATTAACCAACTGTCAAATAAGATACAATAGCCCAGCAGGTTAAATGGCTAATGTCCGGCGTCCTGAGCTCCTCCGCCTGGCCTGTGGCAGCGCCCGATCCTGGACCAGAGGCACGGGGGCTCGGCTCCAGGAACGAAACTGTGCATTCTGCTGACAGGGTAGCCCGGCTGCTCAGGAGGAAAAAAATACTAATTGTAAATCTTTTCTATTTTTAGACTTAATGTGCATTTTATTTGGCAGTAAGGGCAGCATGAATACAACTCCAGTCCCAAGACTTTCAATTTGCTTCCTATAAAATGCGCAGATCAGTAGGGACCTTCAGGAAGAAACCCCCCAATCTCCACCATCTCTAACTAAGACCCTGCAATCTCCCCCTCATTCAGGTCAGCCCACACGCCTCCAAATACGTGTGACTTCTGACACGTGAGCCCTCTGAGGGGAATTCTAAGAATGACTTTCTGAACTGTGCGTGTCACAAACAGCATCCCAGTATTTCCCTTTGGGCTTCTGTGGCTAGAGTCCCTCTCACACTTGCCTATGTATATTCTGTTCATTTTAATTTTAATTTAATTGTATTTTCTGTTGGTAGCCTTATAGTCCGCCTGGGAAGGTAAGGTCTTTAAAAGCAGCGGCTACATGTATTTCGTAGTGTATCTGTAGCAGAGAGTATATCCTGTATTTTATAATGTGTAACCCATAACATATAAACACATATATCACACACATACACACACAGGTAGAGACTCTGAGCAGCAAAACCCCATGCAAGGCTTTCTCTAAAAAGTGGAACTCCCCTTCAATCCGAGCAGCAGAGTAGAAAAGTCCCGAGACAACGTGGTTCTGAGGAATGCTATCTGTGTACTTCATTACCATTTTAGGAAATTCTTAATGTTCTTGGCCTTGGGGGATCATCCTTCCTTTTAAGAGTCTTACAATAGCTATCCTGGTTTTATATCTAGGAAAATGATCACCTCCCCACATACACAAAACACTGTCGAGTTCCACGGGGGTCAGGGGCTCCTGCAGCCTGAAACATCTACGTTAGAAACGGCCCCTCTGCAGTGAGTTCCTCCGTGTCTAGCTTTCCCTGGGTGCTGGGTTAGATGTGCACAAGCTCAGGCCACGACCCGAGACACTCCTGCCACCGGTCACCCCCCCGGCCACTGCACAGAACAACGTGCTCGTGGAGAAGAAACGTAGAGATGACTGCCTAGCGGGCTTCTCCCTGGAGAACGTGACCACTGTCTCAAACGAGGTCCTCGGGCCCACCTTTTGGTCTTGGCTGTATGCCAGGATCCAGTCCTCCTGCTTGGGGTGGAAAAGCAGGCTCTGGATGTAGAAGTTCAGCCGGTACTTCTGGTAGGTCGCTCCTTCATCTGAGCTGATCAGTAAACTGCTCTCGATCTCCGGATCCGTGAGCAACATAATCTGCAGCAGAGAATTGTTGGGGAAAGATAACAACAGGACGTTATATTTCCAGTTTCCAACCACTGAACAATGAATGAGCTAAGATCTTTGACAAGGGAGGAAGAGGAGCAGGCGAGGAAGACCAGGCCAAGCAGCAGACCTGGCCTCTGCCAGGGCTGTTCCCCGGCCTTGACCCCCTGCCACTCAAAGACGTTCTCTCGGGAGCCACGCCAAGCTGGGAGGCCGGGAGAGGAAACAGGAGACTGCATTTCTCCGCTTCGATGGGGCTCCGGGTTGTTCTTTTCCCCCAGTGTTACTTCCTTAATCTAAAATATTTCCTACTGTTCCCCTAACCCCAGTCCTCCTTCCTGCTGTGCCTGGTTCACTTCACTTCGGGGAATTAAACAGCAAGACTCAGTCTGTCGTGGGAAAGGTGAGGGAATGGAGAGAGGACAGTGCTCACTGGATTTACAAAACTTTTTTTCCCTTTATTGGTTTTTAGAGAGAGAGGAAGTGAGAGGGAGAGAGAGATAGAAACATCGATGAGAAAGAACACTGATTGGCCGCCTCCTGCATGCCTCCTACCGGGGATTTGGCGCACAACCTGGGCATGTGCCCTGACCAGGAATCGAACTGGCGACCTCTTGGTGCATGGGTCGACTCTCAACCGCTGAGCCACACCGGCCAAACCACGTTCACTGGATTTCCTCACCTACACAGCCCTCCTCTTCCTGTCAACATATCCCACATCACCTGCCCTTTAGCCTGATCATCTGAGTGTGTGTCCAAGGCTGGGCTTTCTGAAGCCTTCTCTGAGAATTGTACAAAGGCCAATGTATCCCCTTCTAACCTATTCTGTGATTTACTTATTTATTTAGTTTACTGTCTACATACCCTCTACTAGACCATCAACTCTATGAGAAAAGGAATAGTTGCTCTTTCTCTCTGTTTGTCCCCCCAGGTATATTCCCAGTAGCTAGAGTGAGACCCAGAATGTATTATATACGTACTCAGTAAATATTTGTCAAACCAATGAATGAATGAAAAGGGCTTTCAGAGCAGTCACGAGGCCCTAGAAGGGTGCCCAGGACAGTGTGAGCACACAGGAATGGACCTTCCACACAGGGCGGAGCTGGCCTCCTCCCGGTCCTCCCTGGGCTGTCCACAGGACGACAGGCACGACCGACGCTTTGACTCTCCGGGACGGTTCATCCTGGTCGGAGCAGTAATGAACAACCCACAGTAGGAACACGATGGAGAAGCTGCCCTGAACACTGATTTTCATTCCCTCATTTTGTGCCTCTAGGAATATGTGATAAAGTACCTCGTTCCTGACTCTGCGGGGCTCCTTCCCCTCAGTCAAAGTACACACCTAATGCCTCCAGACAGGTGGCCCTAATGCTACCTGCCGACTTCCTCCCCGTCAACGTCTTAATTGACACTCTCTGAGTTTCGTTCGGAGGAGCATGAACGATGTGCTTAATGTGAGGCTGTATGAAGAGAGATCACTGCAGCCTGCGGTTTTTAAAGACTACCAGCCAAGGAGGCAGCAGTTCTAGGCGAAGAAGAGCAGGAGAGAAAGGAAAAATGAAACAGAGCCACACATAGAAGGTAGAGAGAGCGCCGGGCACACACGGGGATTTCAGCAGCATTGGGAGGCTCAAACCTCGGACGGTTAGTGCATCTTCAAAAGCGGTCCCCTGTCACTGCAACGTCACGAGGACAGATACACTCGGCCTGAATGGTCTTTACGTCCTTCGGGCGACTTGAAGGTTCCTTGCTGTTCTTTCGACCTCCCCCCACTCCCCTTTTAAAAAGATTTTTTTAAATTGATTTTCAGAGAGAGAGAGAGAGAGAGAGATGTAAGAGCAAAACATCCATTAGCTGCCTCCTGCACGCACCCTGTCAGGGGTCCAGCCTGGAACCTGGGCATGTGCCCTGCCAGGAATCTACCCGGCAACCTTTCATGCACAACGACACCCAGACAAATGAGCCACACCGGCCAGGGCTCAACCACCCTTCCTGAAGAGGAGAAAAGGGTCTGGGAGCAGGGACTGCAATGCTGTGGCAGTCTGCTGTACTCCAGACAGGACGCAAAGCCCACACAAAGTTGGAGACTAATTGCCTCTCAATCCATGTTCCGGTGAAGCCCCGTCCAACCATAAATTCTGACCAAGTAATCGTCTTCCTGTCTGGGGCTCACCAAGCTGCTGGGGCCCCCTCCTGGCATGGGGCCATCAGGAAATCTGCTAAGTACAAACTCACATGGCTTCATTAAAATCTCTTGTGTGCTTTAAACAAGGATGTTCCAATGGCTGCTAACTTCGGAAGAATATTTCCAGGTGACTTCCTATTGCCTAGCACATAAAAGCTGTTGTTTTTCAAACAACAAATAAGTCGTCAAATGATCATATTGCTTTGTGTCTCCAACCACAATTAACAATAATATATAACAAGCTTTCCGCAGCACTGCCAAGAGTAATTTCCATAATAATATGAAGAGGCTCGATTTTACGGAGCACCTACTGCCTGGGCCAGGTGAGTCCCCCTCTGGTATTCTGTTTCCCGCTACCGGAATACAGTTTCCTCTCTCCCCGTGAGGACAGCCCTCTCCACCTGCTTCTCCTGGCAGACCGCTTCGCAAAATAAAAACACCGTGCCCACAGAATATCCTCCAATCAAGCTGATTTTTAGTTATCATTTATTTTAAATGTTTCTGATAGCCGTTTGTGGTCTAAGCCATGAGACTGTATATTGTATAAGATAATTCTGCATCCAGGAAATACTGAATAAGGGAGGGTGGAGGCAGAATAATGCAAATCTTTTTCAAACAGATGGCTAAAGAGTGAATAAATAAAAACTGCTGGATTCCGTAGCAGATTTTTTCTGGGTACTAAAAATATGTGGAATAAAGTCTAACCTTCCCTATACAGTCCTCCCCTGAAACCCTCTATTTGGGAATTTGATGTTTAGAAATGATGAAAGATGCTAGGAAATCCCCCCTGTAAGATTTATAAGTGTGTTGTGTTACACAAACCTTCCAGTGGTTCTTCTCTCAAACCTCTGCTCAGATCCGCTCGAAACAAACAGGTCAATCGGGATCTATTTTTGTTTATTGCACAAATTCTGTAAGACCACCAGGAAACTTGAAAATCAAAGAAAAATAAACTGTTCGCGACACTGTCCCTTCAGCAAGTTAAGCGATGTTTATGCTTCCTTCTACTCTTCCACAGCTATACATTGTATCATAGATTTTTTTTTATTCTGCTCTTTTTCACTTAAGATTTTAAATGAACATCATTGCCTATATTCAAGTCCAACGGAATGAAAAACACACAGATGCATGTACACTCATTCATACACATCACTGCGTGGCATCACTTCATCACAACCTTCCACATAATGAGGTTGCAAGGGGTGCGGCGCGTGAACCATAGAAAGTATTTCATAAATTACTGATAACTAAAAGTAACATCTTATTATTTCAGTCTTTAAATTAAAATTTTTCGTGATTTTTATTTCAAGTGGGTTGAGGTGTGTTCTGTCATTTTGTAGGTTACTAAAATTAAGTAAGTTAATAAGTAAATCAAGTCTTCAAGCAAGCTATAAATAAAAAATGTTGAGCCCTGGCCAGTTTGGCTCAGCGGTTAGAGCGTTGGCCTGCGGTCCGGAGAGACTCGGGTTCGGTTCCCGCTAAGGGGATGTACCGCGGTTGCAGTTTGTCCCCGGCCCTGGTTGGTCGTGCGGGTGGCAACCACTCGATGTGTCCCTTTCACATCGATGTTTCCCTCTCTCTCTTTTCCTCTCTCTCCCTCCCACTCTGTCTGTACAAAAAATGGAAAAATGTCCTCGGAAGAGGATAAAAAAAAAGAAAAATGTTGAACCTATTTGAAAAAAAAAAACATGTAAATGATACAGGCGATCCAACCTTCAGACACAAATGATGTCATTTATAAATAGATGCGTTCTATCTTCCCAGGAAGGTATTCCACTGGGAAATAGCCAATTGGCAACTTCAGGTTGGTGAACACTCAGAAGTTAGTAGATTACACTCCTCACACATGTCCAGTGGCTCACACAGGCTGCCTACTCCTTCAGCCCTTCAGGTGACTTTCAATAAATGGTGTTTTATTGTGTTTAATCCTCTGCATTCTGGAATATGATCTCAATGAGAGAATTTTGGGATTTTTTAGAGGCATGAACCCAAACTTTGCACAATTCCTGAAGTGAGCTCTCTAAAAAGAGGGGTCGTTATTTGCCTGGCATAGAGCTTGGTATCCAGTAGAGGTCCATACATCTTGGTAACTGAATGAACAAGGGAATGAGTGAATAGGCCAATCCTCTGCATCCCTGTGACCCTGGGGATCTGAGTCCCTCTGAAATAAACCCCTGCCCTTCTACTTGGAGGCAAGGAGGGTGGAAACAAGGGGAAGAGTCTGTCCTTAACAGGAAAGCAATTGTTCTCTGTTCAGATCGGCCCATGAGCGATTTGAGCCAGTTTATGGATGCCCCGCAGGGTGGGCAGAAGCCGCATTGACCGCATCTGCAGATGAACTGTTTTCTATAGAAAGTCAATGACGGCAACACAGGCTCCGCCGCCCAACTCTATGAGATCATTCATCATCCACTTCGGGAGAAGGAAGAACTTTATTTGTTTTTCCTAGAGGTGACAAATGAACATGACATGCAATTTATAGATTTCAAAGACGTCACTTCTCACTTCATTTAGTATTGGTCCTTTTGACAGCTTAGTGTCATCAAAAATGAAATGGATCTTCACTGTCTTTGACTTGCCCCAGATTCAACATATGGTTACATGTAATTCTGCAAAAGGTTGGTTGGGAGCTCTCTGAGCTATCTAGGTTTTCTGCTAGGGACAGTCTTCCTACAGAAATGCCACTACTATTTAGTTTTCCAGATTCTTTTCCTAGGTGTGTTGTTCTTGGAATTCCATCATTTACCTGTTTAGATGGGGTGGAGTGGATAAGGAGCAGCTCCACTACCTGTAGGCATATACTTTA